TTGTCTCCTCCTGCCAAATTCAAAGAAATTTCCTCAATGTTAGGTATAGGGTACCTATTTAGCTCTATTTGCTTATTCAGTGTAGTTTTATAATCTCCACAAATTCTTATAGAACCATCCTTCTTTAACACTGGCACAATGGGCGTTGCCCAATCGGAATAGTCTACCTTCTTTATGATGCCATTAGATTCCAATCTACTTAGCTCATTTTCAATTTTATTCCTCATTGCATAAGGTGGAACTCTAGCTTTGCAGTATCTTGGATTTGTATCTTTAATGCTTAACTTCACTGTTCTATCATTTAGTAATCCTGGATTACCAAAAACACATTTATTTTCAGATATAACTTTATCTAGTGAAGTAAGACTAGATTCTCTTACATTCTTCAATGAACAAATACTCTCCCAATTTAACTTAAGATTACTTAACCAGTTCCTACCTAGTAATGGCGGTCCATTTCCTTCAACCACAAGAAGAGGAAGTTTAACACTTTGACCATTATAACTTACATGAACCATACACTCTCCTATCACCGGAACATTGTCACCAGTGTATGTTGTTAGACACTTGTGACATGGCTGTAGAGGCACTGATCCTCCTGTGACAGCGTCAAAATCTTTCTTTGTTATGACTGTTAGAGATGCTCCAGTGTCAAGTTGGAAGCTGATGCTCTTACCGTTGATATTAACTGGTACATTGATGGGAGCATGACTTATTGATTTAACAGAGAACAGGTTGAAATCCGGCTGCAAATCAATTTGAGCATTTTCACAGGTAGAGTGGTTCATTGGTTGGGTTAGGTAGTCTTGGTGAGAGTTAACATAGTGCTGCTTTTGGTTGCGGTACTGTCTTGACTGGCTAGATTTAGCAACAGACGAAGACTTTGCAAAGCAGGCCTTGGCAATGTGACCTTGCTTACTGCACTTATAACAAGTTGCAGACTTGAACTTGCACCGATGAGATGCATGGGGACCTTTGCATCGATGACATTTTTGATAATTATTACTAGATTTAGATCTAGGATTTGAACGAGCAGGCTGTTTAGCATAAGTTGGAATGCTCTGATAGGGTTGATGTTTATTGACTAACCTGCTGTTTACTGCATGGATCCCTGAAGGCGTAAGAGATTTCGCCGCATCTGATGACTGCTGGAATGACATTGCAAGTTGTATTGCTTTTTCCAATTTTAGATCTGACTCGAGCAGCAACTTTCTTTGAATATCAGGGCTGTTTACACCTGTCACAAACTTTTCACATAATCTGTCAGACAGCGTTTCTCCGAATTCACAAAATTCACTTAAATGACGTAAAGCAGCAACATATTCTGATATTGACTCGTTTGGTTGACGAGTCCTACTGTCAAATCTAGCTCTACATAGAAACTTTGATGGGGTATGCGCATGGTGGTCTGTTAGCAATTTGCTCAGCTCGTTAAAGCTCTTGGTAGTTAGACTAGCTGGCGCGCATAAGTCTTTTAGTAGCCTAAATTGTTGAGGCCCTATGACTGTTAACAAAATAGCTCTCTTTTTGGCTTCTATCGTCACGTTGTTTGCTTCTAGGTAAAAGCTTAACCTCTCTAGGTAATCTTGAATGATTTCATCATTCGCATCAAATTCTTTTATTTGGCCATACAACGCCATAATTCTAGAAATAATTAGCTAATAAGCTCTAGCAAACCTCTTTTTTGCGTAAGTAGGTGCTCTTTCTAGTAGATGTTTATCCTTCGTCGCCAGTTATAATAGATTGACGACAGAAGCCTGTGGTTGTATATAACACATTTATTGGGTCTAACTACATCACGATGGTAACACACCGAGAGGACGGAAGGAAGTACACAAGGGACATCACTCAAGATAACAATATTATAAATATAACTAATACAGAAGAGTGAGTTCCCTTGACCTCACAATTATTTCAATCTATTACACACGGAACATTCATATTTCTACTGGGGGGAACCTTCACGTAACTATGTAGTGTCTTGGTGAATGTTTTTAAAGAAAACCTTCCCATTTAACCACCCCTACTCCATCAAACATTTTGACTTACATGCTAATAGTGCTATGATAGTCCTAAAAATTACTGAGCAAACCCCCTCCCCCCTTTCTATCAATTCCCCACTTTTCCTTCCCCGAAACCGACAGCTTTTTATGCATTAGTCATTAAGCATGACGTCACGCTCGTGATAATACAGAAGAAAACGACGTATACCAGTGAATCTTCATATAAAACAGTGAAATTTGGTAGACAAAATGGAGCTAATGTCAGTGCTTTTTATTTCCTAAACCTTGAAATTGTCGCTCGTCTTAACGACATTGATGCCCCCCACCCCCCTCCACCACCCTCTGAAATGAGTCACAACGGGCCAGTGACCTCGCAAGTCCATGAAGGTTCCATAGCGAGGCCACAGAGATCGAACCGTGCCGGACACTCACGTGGATAAACTGTCGCCATAGCAACGGCTTGAATATTTCCCACCACGCGCAACCCCTTCACCCTGTAGAAAATGTATGACCTCACCAGGCAGACGGGTACCTGCAACTAATTACGTACAATTTTCATACCACCAGCTCAGGGATAATATTTGTAGAAAAAAAAAACGCGAGTATTTACATTAAAGACGGTTCTCAAAAGAAATTGAGCTCGAATATAACATATTCAAGCGCACGTGTAGCCTATACTTATAAAATTAGTTATATTAGCATAGAATATTATAGAACACATTAGAATCATAAATCTCAAGGTCATTATTTATAAAGCACCCCTTCCCCTTTAACTATTATTTAGTAACAGTAACAGCAGAAATGTTAGATTCCCTGAAATACATTTGAACCCCCCCCCCCCCCCCCCACATACACAAACCAAAATGACCAAAATGATAATTGCCATCGTATTAAGCCCTCATTTATATCAGTTAAACGTGAGAAAAAAACACTCAAACTCAAACATATCGAGAGCAGATTTAGATCTAGAGAAGTGAAGGGGTAAAAAAAAACACCACTGGCTTTTAAATCGATAAAACAACTGGGGCGCAGAAGCATCATCAATGCTGTTTTGTATTCCCAGCATATCCCTTTCTATGGGATGAGTGGATGGACTATTCAAAATTGCAGCTCAATATACACATTTTTTTTTCATAAACAATTATTGTTGTATAAATACATTTAAAAAAAACAACTTTGTTTTAATGTATTGGCGATGCAGACGACTGATTTTAACTTTATGTATGACGGGGAAAAAACTAGTCCAGATTTTTAGCAGGCTGATATCTTAGTCAATTTTATATCACGTTTTTTCTTCTTTTTTTTGTGCGCCTTGAACATGCATCACCAAACACTGAATTGTATTAGTAAAATTATCCCGATGTGCAGACAATATGTGAATTTGCGGTTACATTTTTTGTTAGTTCAATAATAAAATATGTGTTATTAATGCAAAGTGAAATACCTTGAAACAAGTGCAGAATTTTTGCAATATTCCCGGCATTGCTTATTGTTTCGTTTATCAACTTGGATCAATATTTGATGCGATTAGTTCATGCGTTTATCCTGCTGAATCACATGCGGTGAGAAAGGGGGAAGGGCTGGGTAACCAACCGGCTTATGGGACGCTTAGGGGTGGGGTGGAAGGCTGGAATCGTCTGCACGTTCACCGTTTCGCGCGGGATGCAGCTAACGTAGAATGCATGATAGTAGTCACATATCTAGGTCAAATTGTATAGATTCTTCGGCGAGTACTTTAACTGTTCGTAAGCAAATCGTTCCCATCTTCACGCGCGTTTGCACAATAAAGATGCCAGAAAAATGTGCACTATTAAAGGCCAAAAATAAAGCTTTTAATGTTTATTTTTTCGACTCTTCCCTTTCTTCATTAAATCAGATCGTCCAATGGCCTTTTTAAAAACACTTTCAACGATCGTAGATGAATGCTAGAAGTAATCAAAGAAACATAACCACTGCCGAGTCTAACCTTTAGCTGCAACTAAAGATGCCATAAAAAGCCTTTCATACACAAAAATAAACCATTGTCAAATGTGATCTGATGTAGAGAGGCGGTAAAGAAGGCGGCATAAGTGAAAAAATACAATAAGAGTACAATAACAATTAAAGGGCGACATTTTGAAGATGTGCATCATAGCCATATCACACTATCTTGAAAGGGACAAAGCACAAGATAAATAATATCAGTAGAAGTTAGTTTAGTTATTTGAGGAATCTTATAGGTTTTTATTATTTTGTCATACAGTGTTATAATCTGTGTTTCTATTCGGTATTTATCAGACCCCCCCCCCCCCCCAACTGGACCTAATAGAAAAAAATAATAAATTAGGATAGAATATATTACACTTTAACCATTCTTATAAATGAACACTCCCTCATCAACCAAAGTTTCAGGTACCTTCCATTCCAAAGGAAATATTCATAAGAAACCCTGGTTTTAGGTAAACTAAGGGCTAAGTTATATTTTTATATAGATCTAACTACCTCAGATAAAATTTTAAAAATCTTATTTCTTTTTAAACAAAATTCTGCTATTTAACTCTCCATCAGATGTTTTTTGTTGATAATTTTTTTTACAGTATAAGGTGGTGTCACTGCATGGGTGTGGTGTCACATGTCATATGGCGCAGTAACTTCCTCTCCCTGGTGTGTGGTGTCACATGTCATATGGCGCAGTAACTTCCTCTCCCTGGTGTGTGGTGTCATGCCACACTTTCATTTATTTAGATTTAATTCTTTAAATTTAGCCATTTTTATATATTAGTGTTATCAGCCCACCTCTCACCCCACCCCTCTTGATGTATGATGTTGACAATTTGTGCTAAATTGTGTGTTAAACTATAATCAGTTTTGATTTCTCAGTAAATTTAACATTTCATATGGACATTTTCTATAATGATATTATTATTCTATTATAATTGTAGCTTTTATTTAATTGTTGAATAAACTATTCTGCAACCTTATAACAACACTTTTGAATCACCAAATAAAAGAACTGACCTGATTAGTTTTGACACCATACAGACTGTAGTCCAGACATTTCACAATGTCATAGAAGATTTCATCTTCATCCCTGTCACCATCGATCTGAAAATATTTAATTTTAAAATATCATGACAATAACATTCGTTTTTATGAGAGATCTTTAAAAATGATGACTCTCATGGTTAGCCAATTTATTCCCTACATCATCCTTAACAAATTAGTGCAACACAATTTATAACCTCCTGTAGTATGACATCACAAAATTATTCTAATTTAAATCAACATTTTTCTTACATTTATTCTTTAAATTTTACAAAATGAATGTCATCTTGTCCTCCATATCAATAGAACAAATTCAAAAGTACAACCCCTCTACTCAACCCAGATGTGTAATGTAGGTATGATGTTAGCTTAGTAGTGTGAAAACGTTTTTCTTTTTAATTTGAAATTTATTATTTAAAAAATTCAAATAAGAATAAAATTAATTGAAAATAGGAAATGGTGTATATATATATATATATATATATATATATATATATATATATATATATATATATATATATATATATATAAATAAATAAATAAATAAAACATATATATATATATATATATATATATACATATATATATATATATATACATATATACATATATATATATATATATATATATATATATATATATATATATATATATATATATATATATATATATATATATATATATATATATATATATATATTATAAGTGTGCGTGTGAGTTTATGTATGTATGTGTATATATGTAGGTCATTGTGTGTAAGGTACAATGAGTTATAACTTACAACAATGAGTTTCTTTTCATCATCAATTGCTTTTAGCAAGGGCAGTGTATGTTTGGCAAAGAAGTTGAGCTTTTTCTCAATGGCAGCAACATTGTCATCTATTCTCTCAGTGCCTCCTGCACCTCGCAGCACCAGGCGATCATGCAGGTACTTGTCCTCACAGTCAAGGAGAATAGTGAACAAATGGCCGCCAATCTAACACGGAGAAAATACAAAGTTATAGTAAATGCATTACACAGTAAACATTGATTTAGAACAATACACATAGAGTGTTTTACTAAAAGAGTCTAGGCGATAAAGTTATTTGCAGTGATCATTTAAATGACATTTAAAAATTTACATTGTTAAAGTATCTAGGATAAAAAAAACAATGTTATAGTGTGTAATATGACCAGTCACTTTGAATATGAAAAAAATGTATTCCTGCTTATGTATATGTGCATGTATATGTATAAACACATGTATGGGTATCTTTATACCTAATATGTAGACATTGTAAAGTAAAAACTTACATTCCTGTTGAAATCCTCATACTGTAGAGCATCTCTTGGGTAGCCTTCGACCAAAAAGGCTCTGGCATCAGGGTGATCCTGCATGGACTGGATCAGCAACTCTTCTGTAACATCCTGTCCATATTTCAAAACAGAACATGCTATTTAATATAATATGAAATCCATTATTTATTTTCTGTAGTTGAATTATTTCAATTAGTTGGTAATCTAATTTTTTAATTTTCCAACTGTATAAGCTGCTTTTTGTATTTTAAAATATGTTATTAAGAGATTTTTATAATAAGCTTGGCTAAAAGTAAAACTCTAGACCAGCAATGCAAAAAACCACCATCTTACAACTGGTGCCATGTCTCCGTCTCTCAGTAATGTGGTAACCATTGCCCATTTCTCATCAGTGGAGCCTCTTTCTGAAATCTCTTTACGTAGGATATCTCCCATAGACAGGTGCACAATATCTGGATATCTGGCAATGATTTTAGCACACTGTGTTCCCTTGCCACTGCCTGGGCCTCCTAATAAGTAAGACATGTTTGAGTTTATTAACATATTGACCATGTGAAATGAAAATGTCACACAACTTTCAAACTTTTACCTGCCAAAAATATTAAAGGTGCTTGAGGCAGGTTGTCTTTGCGACCTTCATCTTTGACCTTGATCTCTGGAGGTGGAATGTATGTTATAACAGGCAAATTTATTGTAACAGCTGGTTCACTTGGTGGCAGTGGAGTGAGAGGCGGAGCGGAGCTTTCAAGTGGTGGAGTTACTGCTTTTTTGTTCCACCTAGTGGAAGCTGGTCTTGGGCCTTTGGGTGGTGCTGAGAGCAATTTGAGAAAATAATGTAATTTTATGTTGATATTAAATTTTTAAAAATTGTAATAAAAAAAAATATTTGCAACCAAATTTATACATTTCTCTACTTTTTTCTCTCTTCAGCATGGTGGCTAAAGGGTTAATGATATCTAATACAATTATGTAAATATAATATTTTAGGTAGGCCTACTTATAAATAAAATAACTCCATTCATGCACTTTATTTCTAAAATCCAATAAAATAAATCACTTTCTTAAGTAAGCTACCATTGGAACTTCTGTACAAACTAGAGTTACTAGTGGCATTTATTTTAGTTTATGTAGATGTAATGGTACACTTACAAGGAACTCTGCCATTTTCAAGGCTGTTCAATAAAGAATCAAAAATAAAGTTGAGTTCTTCTTGGACAGAATCAACATCTTGACCTCCATCAACCTGTTGAAAAAGATGTTAAATACAATATAAGTAAGCTTAAAAAGAAGCCCAATACACTTACTATTAAATACTTTTATAAGCATAACATTTTGAATCAAAGACTATGTTGTTGACTGATTTTAAGGGGTCATCCATTTATGACGTCCACACGCGGGGGGGGGGGGGGGGTTCCGAAACAAACTGACTTTTGTGGACGCATATGGACTGTTATAAGGAAAAAAAAGTGGATTTTTGTGGGGGGGGGGGGGGGGGGGGGGGGGTGTGGTGTGGTCCAAAATCCAAAAAAATTGTGGACGTCATAAATGGATGACCCCTAACATGCTATATACAACACAAATTCAAATTTTAGCCAAACCAGAATAAAAATGTATATATACTATAAATAACTGTAGACTTGATTGTGTTAAATGCCAAACAATTTCAAACTCATTTTTTGTGATAAAACCCTTAAAAATCTATTGATTAATCTTAATTATGCATCATATGTCATACTGTATAAACAAAATGATAGAGTCATTCCAGAATGTGGAGTGTTCATTATTAAGTTAAAAACTCTCATTTTGTTGTATATGAAAGATTTATGTAAAATTATTTCTATTTGCATTGAAAGAAATTTTTCAACCTACGATGTACAATTTTCCTGCATCATCATAATATTTGAGAACAGGCAATGTCTTTTCCTTATAAGTTGACAATCTTTTCAAATACACATTGGTTGAGACTTCACTCCCACTGTCCTGGACTTTTTTAAGCAGCTCCTCCTCTTCACAGTCCAATAAAAATACAGCATCCACTCTACTGATCTAAAGGATGGAATCATATATGGATAGTTTGTTTTTTTTATCAAGCATTTCAAAAGCTCTATAAGTCATAGGTTTTTTAAGTTTTTCTCTGAAAAGAAGCAATTATCCCCATTTTTAATAATTTTTTTTTTTAAATTTTAAAATAATTTGAGCCGTTGAAACTTTCTTTCAATAATGTTTTAAATTAAAAGTACAAAAAAAATTCTTTTTTTTTAATACTTTCAAAGTTTATTTGCAAAACTAACATACTTTTTTCTAAAACTTGAGCATTAAAAAGCCCCAAAGCTACAGGATACCTGCTAATACTATTTTATCATATCCAGTTATGGCAGCACAGATTTCTCATAAAGCAAAAACTTACAGTTTTTTCAAATTTCTGCGCTTGATCCATATCTCTAGGGAACCCCTGGACAATGAAACCTTTTGCTCTAGTATTATTCTTCAAGCTGTTGTGCAAGAGGTTTAGAGTCACATCCTGTATGAATGTTTGGAAATAGATTTGATCAAATTATGAAAACTTTCATTAACATAATATTTTATAAAACTTTAATAATATCACATATATGTTCTAAATGTGTTTAGAAATGCAATGAAATTTAGTAAAAATGCAAATACTTTTTTCCCCACTAATATTAGGCTCAGTAAATAAGTCTAAAAGTGCATGAAAATAAAATGGAATTATTTGACTCTTGGTAATAACTAAATCTGTATTCCGTATTTTTAAATTACCATACCTCAGGTGCCAGGTCACCTCTTGTGACCAACTCTTTGACTGTCCTCCAGTTCTCTTCAGCCCCCTTGTGTTTTATCTCCTCTTTGAAAAGCTGTCCAAGGTTAATATTGACCCAGCCCTTGTGCTTATCTACAAGGAGTTCTGTCTGAACTGACTTACCACTACCTGGCCCACCTGTAATAGGATTAAGATAAACTATTAATAGTAGTCACATTTAGGGTTTAATTTAACATGGGGATTTCCATAATTGATATCACATAGTTCTATAAGCTTAGAATTTGCTGATGTTGGGGCAGGGGTTGAAGAAATTTAATTATAATCTTCATAGGAGGGGAGGATAGAAATTCTTTTGATATGATGATACAAAAGGGGGAAGGGGGATGGAGCAAATTCATTGGCAAAAATAAAAACATGATTATGGATGACACCTCAGCAAATAATTATATAGTTTTTCAAAATACAGGTACATTTATTTTATCAATAAAATTTTTTTAAACATCTTATTCTGGCTTCCTTACCCATGATAAAAATAATTGGTACATCGGGTAGTCCATTGGGGCCTATTGGAGGAAGAGGTGAAAGTGATGGCTTGACTTCCACTGAAAAATAATAACATTGCTTTCAAAGAAATCAAAATACATTGGCTTTGTGAAAACTTAAAATTTCTAGCTCATATCAATACATAAAGCTGTAGTAAATTAAATTTGAAAGATTAACACCTTTGTTGTCTTTGACGACTCCTCTTGAGGTTGGCCTTTTCCCGTTGACAGGTGTGATTGGAGGTAATGGTTTTTTGGCTGACTTGACTTCCACAAACATGTTCCATGTTAGCTCTGCTTGACCTTTGGTCTTAACCTTCTCTAAGCTATCTATTAGATACTGGATGTGGTCATTTGGCCTGTGGAACATCAGTCCCGTCATAAGACACTGAAAAGGTAAAAATACAAGTATAAATAATTTTAAAATATCAATGTTTTGATGGTTACTATTAAATAGATTTGAAAATAAAATATTAATTGTGCTAAGCTTACAAATCATTATTCATGCTGCATTAAAAATACCCAATTTTCAGACAAGTATTACATTACTATATTTCTTATCTTCTATGTTTAGTTAAACTAGGAAAGAAAATACTTTTTAAAAAAGCTTATATATCTAGGTCTACATAAATTAATGATGCACCCTCATAGGATATGTTTTGTAAACAAAAGAAAGTGTTAAGCTAAATAATACATTCACCTAAGCATGTGCTCAATGAATATACAAACTGTAAACTTTAATATTTATTATAGGTCTATTATTTTAATGTTAGAAATATATATTTGAATGGGTTTAGCTTTTCTTTTTTAAATATGTGGTTCTTTATAAAAAAAAAAAGAAGAGAAAAATACAACCCCCTCTGATTTAAAGATGGCATAAATCTACAAAAAAATGACAACCTGGCAATCAATATGGATTAACTGGCCATTAAATTGCCATACTTACATTCAACGCCTCAACATCATTAGACAAAAATCAATACAGATCAATCCTGTCTCTGACTGACATAGCAATCACTATTAATTTGTTGCTTTATGTACTATTACAGGCCTATTATGTTTTGGAGAATATGCTAAATAAAACTAAGGCTAAAAGTAATAAGTCATAACACATTTTATAATTTTATGTCCATTGACTGTAATTTTAAAATAGATAATGCAAATAAAATATACAGTCAGTGCGTGAGATTCTGAATACATGAGTATCTAATTTTCTAATAGGCCGACTAACATTAGTGTATGGATTATAGAATGAAAAATATCTTGATCTTGTCAGTTAGTGGGCCAAATAGTAGATCTTAATCATAGTAATAGGGCAATCATTATATATATATATATATATATGTATATATATATATATATATATATATATATATATATATATATATATATATATATATATATATATATATATATATATATATATATATATATATATATATATATATGTATGTATGTATTTATTTGGATATGGCCTAACAATACATACTCATTTTAGTTAATTTATAAGTTAATAAATTTAGGTCCAGTGCAGGAGTTTATCATAACTGTTACTGTTTTATTTTCATAATAATAAAAAATAATTATTTAGGCCTATTTATTTATTATTGATTAGGGCCTATTTATTTAAGTATCTATTTGACTTGAGTACACATAGTACATACTCACTGACTGAGCTGAGGCTATGGCTATTAATACTATTATATATATTATTTCTGTTATTTCATTACCTCAAAGAGACGTGGCACTTCCCTGCTAGACAGATATGCCTTTGCATCTTCTGTGGACATCTTGCCGCCCTTACAGCGGATAAACGCAACGGGCTGGGTACTGATTTTTGCGGCTGATTCAGACACCTAACTCGTGAAGCTGGCGAAACCCTCGCGTAATGATGTGGTGGTTCCTTTACGTGGTTTCTAATGACAACAAATATGACCTAACTGTTCGCCATCGATAATATTCATCCGACATATCAAAGCAAACTTCGTTTTGAGTTAATAAATGTTTATTAACATAAAACGACATCAATAAATAATTTATATATGAAATATCCGTTTATTACTTTAGACAAATAATTCTATCGGGCTAATATTATTGGCTTTTTATTTTTCAATAATATTTTCACAGATGCGTAATGATATAGACTAGATTTTAGTAAATAGAGACAATATAGTTCTCTACAAACAAAGATGGCAGCCCCCATGGCTGCTTCAGTTAATCGATCAGTGTCTTTTGTGTTTATCATCTTTATTGTGTTACATTTGTTAAATACACATCGAACCGAAGCAGTTTCGGAGGTATTCTTATTTCTTAATCATCTAGGCCCAACTATTCTAAATAAATATTTATTAATATTTAAAATTAGTATTCTAAAATCTTGAGTGAGTGAGAAAAGCCGGATGACTGCCAGTTGAGTTGAACATTGTTGCAAAAACACATTTATTTTAATGTAAACATGATGACTAAACAAGATTTCAACAAGTACTACATTAGAAAAAATTAACTTAAACTCACTACTCACAGTAGTAGACTACTGTAGAGCGGCTAAGCCGCTAAAGCCACCCACTACTTTTACTAGCCACTAGCGGTGACTAGATCTAGTGAGGATAGGCCTAGGTCTAGTAGATCTATATAGTATAAGTATATAGATCTAGGCTATCTATAAAACATTAAAAGTCTGTTTGACAAAGGGACCAGCTGTTGATTAATTCTAGAAAAATGTGTAAGAGATTTCTAGAGTGACCAACACTAGTTTACTAGATTCTACTTGCTGTGGTAACTTACCATAAGTTACGGTAAGAGTAAGGCTAGCCTATATCTTTTAACACTACCTCTATTTTTTTCAGTCTTAAATAATCCTGATTAATAAATTAATAAAATTATAGGCCTAGGCCTAGTAATTACTAATTAGTAATTATCTATAGGCCTACCTGGCTACCACCAATCTTAGATTAGTAAACTTTCTTCTTAGCCTTTCAAAAAGAAAAAAAAAATCTGATATTTAACTAAAACTTGTTGGTTTACATTAAATTTAATGTTTATAGGCCTAAATAAAAATGTTAATAATTATACCAATAGATTTGGATTGAAATCAAACTACTTAAGTCGTGATGGGGATGGTGTGGTCGGCAGGTGTAGAGGTAATTCTTGAGTTCAGATCCCATGCTTCAGTTTGTCAACATTGTGGGGTCGTCCCGGTTCAGATGGGTACCTGACTCATTTGAAGAAAACAAGGCTATCTCCCTATATGCAGAGGTCACTGAAACAGATGAACTCTACTTCTTGTGTCCCCTGTGTCTTAAAAAAGATTATAGTGATGATAAATACAAAAAATGCTTATTTTAAAGCATAACTATAATTAAATACACTGTAGTTTAAATCTTAATAAATTCAATTCACCTATCATTTTATTCCAATTAAAATACCTCATCATGCATGCTAATCACCTGTTATCATCTTAGGAAAATGTGGAGGAGTTTTTCACAAGTGGTCACACCAATAACTGGGCTGTCCTGGTTGACACTTCAAGGTTTTGGTTTAATTACAGGCATGTGGCCAATGTGCTATCCATCTATCGCAGTGTCAAACGTTTGGGCATTCCTGACAGGTGAGTTTACTGGAGGAGTAATAGTCATATTGAATAGAATTTACTAGATACTTTAATTAGGTATTTTGTAATTGGAATTTTCCTATATAATGCCTGACAGTGAATAGACACAAATTTAGTTCTCTTATCATGAATTTGTTGGAAGTAAAAGATATAAAGTTAAATAATTTGTATGATTGCTGATGAGATTTTCACTTTCAGTCAAATAATTTTGATGATTGCTGATGACATGGCTTGTAATCCAAGAAACCCAAGACCAGGTAAAATGTTAAATTCTTTCATCTGTTTATATAACAATTTGTAATAGGACCAGAAAAAAATATTCTTTAATGCCTTATAGAATGTATGCCTGAGCAAAAAACTGAAACTGGCATGTCAGCAATAAACACAGATAATTACTCCTTTATACAATAGTTAATACGTGTAAAGTTAAAGTGGGTTTTTTTTTATAATTAAATATAATTTATTCATTATATTAAATAATGAAGACTAATGGAAGAAAAAATGAGCTTTTAAAAAAAAACAACCTTAAAGTGGTTTTTTTTTATAATTAAATATAATTTATTCATTATATTAAATAATGAAGACTAATGGAAGAAAAAATGAGCTTTTAAAAAAAACGCTTTGGACACTGAAATGAAATATTTTCAATTTCTATTTGCCTTTAACTTTTTTGTTTTCTAATTTTTATTGTCACCAGCAACTGTGTTCAACAATGCTAACCAGAATATTAATGTTTATGGTGATGATGTGGAGGTTGATTATAGGGGATATGAGGTATGTAGTTTTTTCATCCATTAAAAGGGTTAGCGTAAAATCAAATTCAGTTTATTCAGAAACAATGCACATTGTATTTTTTTCTGTACATATAAAAATCATTTCATTACTTTCATATTTTTAAGATGTTTTCAATATAAGATTAATATTATTTGTAGGTTACTGTTGAAAATTTTATTCGGGTACTCACTGGGCGACTACCTCCTAGCACACCACGATCAAAGAGGTTGCTGTCAGATGAACGCAGCAACATTTTAGTCTACATGACAGGCTAGTAGTTTAAACATCTTTCTTACTTATAACTCTGTATGTTATATATGTGTTAGTAAATTAGTTTGAAAGATGTGTAAATAAATGGGTGTACATTACTTCTCTTAGGCCATGGTGGTGATGGGTTCTTGAAGTTTCAAGATTCTGAAGAAGTTTCTAATGTAGAGCTAGCTGATGCTTTTGAACAAATGTGGCAAAAACAAAGGTTTGTGCATTTGTTTCTTTAACTAGCTTTTAAGTTTCCTTAGATTTAAAACATACTTCTGCCTGAGCTGATCAATAAAGTAGTCTTTATACTGTAGTTCGGATCTATTGTCTAGATTTACTTTTCTTTGAAGATTTATGTTGAAATGCTTTTCTATAATAGGGTTTAGAAATTATATAGATAAATAAAAATTAGAATCTGAGGAATAAGACAATCATTTAAAGTCTGTATTTTATAAACATTTAGGTACCATGAGCTGTTTTTTATGATTGACACTTGTCAAGCCGAGTCAATGTTCCAAAAGTTTTACTCCCCCAACTTGTTGGCAGTTGCAAGCAGCAGAGTTGGAGAAGATTCACTCTCAGTAAGTTACAGCCGATGGAAATCAAACTTGTAACATGTAGAATGGATGTCAGAAGTTCATACTTAATTGTTACAGCTAACATATATCAACTGTGCCTTGTTATGCATTTGTACATATAACTGATCTGTATGAAGAAGTCCAAAGCTCTCTATATTAAGAAATGACCACGGTCTTTGTCCCTATAATTGTGATATTTTATTTAACTTGTTTCTCTGTTTCAGCACCATGTAGACCCAGCCCTTGGTGTCTATGTGATAGATCGCTACACTTACTATGCTTTAGAATTCCTTGAGACTGTCAAACCAGGATCAAAGAAAACCATGGCCCAATTTGTATGTAGCAAAATAGTTTGTTCCACTTTTTATAAATAAAAAAAATTATCCTGAAATATGTTTAAGCAACCTGCCTTTTGCAGAGGTCAGAAATTAAAAGAGAATTCTAGTACATTTCTACAAGTAACATACACTTGTAAAATATTGTGTGTACAATGGGCAAGAAAGAATTGAAAGTGTATTCATTAACTATTTCTTTAAACTGTTTTCAATTTAGTGTGAGCACATAACTGTATCTAACGGTTTGAACTATTTTTAGATTATAGTTACCCAAACAATGTATTAATGTGTAATCATGTTCTTAAAATCTATGTGTAGTTTAGAGTCTGCCCAAAAAGTGTGTGTATAAGTACAGTTAGTACTAGAGTTGATTTGTTCAAGAGAAATGTTGCTGACACCCTGCTGACTGACTTCTTTGGAAGTGTGAGAAATGTAGAGCTTCTTCAAGGTAACTCATCTTACAAATCTTTATGCAATCTTGGAAATATATTTAGAGGTTTGATTTGTACGATATTCTGTTTTTAAAATAGAAGTAGTTTTCAACACATATGCCAACCAAATGTACAGAAAAATATATCTAATAGCATATTTCTCCTTCTGTGTTGGTGATTTAAGTATTATATTACTTTTATTGGATAAATTCTTGTTCTAAAAGAATTTGTATTCATTTATGTGTTGGTTGAACTGTTGTTGTGTGCATTTTGTTAAACTGTCAATTATCTTAACAGTTTACTGGTAAATAACTTTATTGTTTGAACTTCTAGCAAAGGTCATGAACTCTGTAGAACTATTGAAATGCCCAAATATTTTCATTATTTAATTATTTTTTTTAATCCAGAGAGCATTTCATTAATAAAGAAAAATACAACAAAAGTAGAGGACACAAAACAAACCTGCAAGTAAGTTCAGAAGATTAACCTCATTATTTGCTAATACATAATTACGGTCACATCTTTTGATTACTTCTACAACTTTCTCACTTTTTACTTTTCTGACAGTTAATTTATAAATCTACACCTGACTGAATTCAGAATATATTTCAGGTGAAATGGCTGGAGGGGCAGCATTTCAAAGGGGTCAATAATACATTTTCTTAAAATTTGGATCATCAAAGTTGACTTAAAAAGTGTTAACTTATAATATGATTCAACTACAATATTCTTGCCTGTTTTCTAATGAAGCAAATAAGTTATCTTTGTCATTAGTTTAAAAAAATTCTTCTTTTAAATCCTCAGCAAAGATACATGCCCTGAGAAAGTGAGCAAGTTTTCCTATGTAGACCAGTTTCCTAAACTTCTTATTTAACTATTATGTTGTGTAAGTTTTTGCTAAGTAAAAAAGAGAGAAAATGTGCTGTGTATGTATATTGTTATGACTGTTTATCATGTTACATCTTGATATAGTTATTGTGAGGTTGGCATTTATTTTTTGCATTTTACTTAGTAGACAAATGGGCCATGCTATTTACCTTGTTTCTGAATATGGTATAAATGAATGATTTCATGGTATCATTGAAGAGAATATGTATCATCTGTGTATGCTTTGAGTACTTTGAATATATGCTTTTTTTTTAATTTTCCAGTGCCAGGTGTTTTATATGTACATTATGTTGAAAATTTGGTTTTATATTTAGTGAATTAAAGTTACATACTTTGCAAATAAATTATTGAATTTAAATTTCTACATATTTGATGATATATTTTTTTTTATGTTTACCGTATACTTAAAATATTTGCTTATTTGAGTATGCCATTTTATACTCAACGATGAAACCTAGAAAATTAATTTACTTTTTATTTTAGACTTAAAAAAACACTTAAAATAATACATGTAAATTGCATTTATTGCTATTGTCACACAGAAAATGACTTTTTTAAAAATTCATAACTTGACATCAGAGATTAAAAAAAAATGTTTACAAAAAAAATATAATGTAACCAAAGAAATAATTTTAAAAAACTTATGGCAAAATTTTTTTTAACATATATGATTATGAATAACGTGTTAGTATGGCAAGAGCAATATTTCATTCTTCACACTTAAACATTTTAATATGGTAGACCAAGAAATGATAGTAGGTTCAATAAAGATGTGTAAATATATTTCATCTAGTTTCACAATATATCTGGATATAAATCAATAAACTAAAACTATTTTTCAAAGTCCAAAGGTTTTCATACAAGTATTACAATAATAATAAGCCAATAAACTGGTACTAAAGAAATAACTAAATAAAAATAACTGTTAGTGGCAATTAATTAATCAGATCTGGTTTACAGAAAAAAAAAATTCTCATAACTGGCAGAATTCATACAATTTTAAATGTTAAACTTTCTGTGATGTTGAGAAACTGCACAATATAATAAATGATTTTATAAACTGAGGATAAATCATTTTGTATTAAACTGAGAGATTCTCTGCATCCTCATATACAATCCAGCGAAGCATGAGGTTATAAATAGCCTCTGACCCTTGAGTAACAGTTTTACTGCAATTAATGTCATACAAATATGACTTCATTTCAAAAGGTGCCTTCTCTTGTTTTTCTGAGCCTCCAGGCCCACCAAAGGGGCCGTAACTCCTCCCCAAGTTTGTGGTAAACCCTAATCTATCAATGAGATAACCACTGCCAATGACCACTTTAATAATAAATTCATTGGGCTCTAACTCAAACTGGTGGCTTTCAACAGAGCCTTCACTTCCACCTATAGTATATTCAACGTCATCATTGTTTGATAATGGATTGCGGTAAAATATTGACAATCCACCAATAACTTTCCTGCCATCCCATAATCTTATCCACAATTCCATCCGATGTATTTCCAACTTCTGATCTTCATACAGATGTTCGGGGGGATTTGGGCATCTGGCTATTTGACCACCGGCCGCATATCGTTTACGAGAGTCACTATAAAAACGAGGGAAAGTACATTTTCTAGACTTGAACCAAGCATCCGGCACATTCAGTGCATCTACTCCAATATTGCTCGTCATTGAATCGTCCTGGAACAATTCATCTTGAAATTTATTCCCTGCAGTTTTAAGCTTCATAAATTTTTGTATTATTTCATGATTTCTAAAGACCTCATAACGATCCAGGCACTTGTAAATAAGTTCCTCATTAATCTGTAAAAATCTAACAGTGCTCAATAGCTTGTCCATGTCCACCTCATTTTCTTCAGACTGAGATGACAAGTACTTTAGTACAGCTGTCAAAATCAACAGCTCCCTCTGTGTCTGCTTCATTATAATATTATTTTTATACAGAATCAAATCATCATCACAAAAGAGTTCCACCAAAAAATCTGGCAACAACTGTGAAAAATGGCATGTTTGTAAAATCTCATCTAAGTGTTTAGTGAAATAGTCTATTGAGCATGCTTTTAAATCACTAAGGGAGTTGTTTATAGAAAAGATTATAACATAACAAATGTTATCCACGTCTAAATGCTGTGCCATAAACTTTGCACATTCCTGCTTGACAAAATCAACACGAAGGTAGTCTGCAGCTACGCAGAGATTTTGAACATTGTCTTGAGTTATCTCCACTTCTCCAGTGTAAGCAAATTTAAGAAGAATGGCAAAGTCTTCTGGTTCAATATTGCTCAACTTCACCTCACCACTTCCTCTCTCATCCATCTAAAAAAAAAAGGAGCATTCTTATTTTTATACTTAAGAGGGAATACATTAAAGATGTACATTAAAGTTTATAGACTGAAAAATGTGTATAAAGAACTACCTTTTATTGGAAATAAAGAAAATTCTATTTTCTTTAAATTTAAAAAACAGATGTTCAAGGTAGGTTTTAAGGTAACTAAAGAAAGGTAGTGCCAACCCATACTTGCCAGTAAAGACAAAAAAATTACTTCTAAATCTCAATAACTAACTTTAGCAGTACAGTATTTTTTTAAAATAACTTTAGTTACAGTGCAATACATTGTTTTAAAATATCTTACTCTAAACACAAGACACCATCAAATATCAAATTATGATATATGATCTGAATCTAACTTAAATTACAAATCAAGTTTTATAATACATATAACAAAAATTCTAATTTGATTTACCTGGAAAAATGGCTGGAAAAAGTCAGACAATGAAGTCAGTACAAGTCGATGAGCTGGAAACTTTCTATCGCCAACCACAATTGTAACATCAGTATACTGACCCAAGTTCCAGTGATGAAAAGCTGCTTTCAACAGCTGTTTTGGTCTCTGAAAAAGAAACTATTGTTATTATTTATGTATTTTTAAAAAAAATACTATGCACAGTTAGTAGCTACTACCAGCATTTTTGCACACTGAGTGGGGAGTCAGCACAAAGAAACAAGTTATGGGTCTATATTTAAGATATTATTTTTGCTATGATCACTAGACCAATGATCAATCTAAGCATACACACATAAGAAAAATATTCAAATCTTAGCTAGCAATTTAAAAACGTCATGAAAAGCCAGACACCCACTCTGCCCCCATTCACCAATATAATATCTTAAAGTTCCCACACCGCCTAAAGTAATATAAATTAACAGGCTTTTAAAGCAATTTTTTTACACCTTACACATCATTACTAAAGTCTTAATCCCCCCTCCCCCCCGCTCCCACCTATTCCCCAATTAATTGTGTATCCTCATAACACTTACATTAAAATCTGTGTGAAAAGCAGTATTCTCCTCTGGTGTATCATATTCAAATTCAATATTTGAATCACTTGAAACAGAGTCCTCTTCAAACTCATCAGCCATAATGTAAATTAACTATTACAGTTAATACCCAAGTCAAAAAATCTATAATGAAATAAAATTTCTATTTTTCGCTTTAGAAAAACAAGTTAAAAGTTTCTGGAAGATGAAGTTATAGACTAAACGATAAGTCTACCATTAAAAAATCTAATGAATTAAATTAATTTGATTGTTAGGATTTCAGTTCAGCTGGACAAATTTGATAGTGTTTTTATGAGGGTAATAAGTTATAATATAACTTATATAATTATTTACGAGAAAAATGGCCCGTTGAGGAAGGATACAACGGGCGCTAGGTTGATAGTGCTGTCTATTTTCTCTAAACTAAAACCAACCCCCCCCCCCACACACACACCCCAAACATGTCTACCGTCCCATTCAACAAAATATAATTATATACTTTTTCGAGTGTCCGCCCCCTCCCCAAAAATTCTACCCCAGCCCCCGAAAATTTCAAGAGATGCATGAAAAAAACTGTGCTTGCTAAACACTTTTTAGATTAGAAAAAGTTCCTGCCTCCGGGAAATAAAAAGTTTGAAAGAAACACTGGTGTCGCGCTTAGCCATTACCCGAAGAATTGCATGAAAGAAACTCTGCACGCAAACCACTTTTTAGATTAGACACATGAATTAGGCTGTAATTTTATTATAGAGTATCGATGACGACATTTCTTTTGAGTTGGGGGGTAGGCTTAGACGTTTTTACGCGGGGGATGGGCTTCGCCCCTACCCGAAGAATTGTATGTAAGAAACTCTTCACGCAAACCACTTTTAATATTAGACAAAATTGGCTTTTTAATTCAATGTTTACTCGAGAATCAATGACGTCATATTACAGTGTGCACTCTCCGGCTTGAGATTATTTTCTACTATATGTTCCAATGAGACTTCATATTTTGTTTCCGTCTTACTATGAAAGTTTTTAATTTGCTTGTGTTTTCTCTAGAGAGCGTTCTTGTCAGATACATAGATAGATACATACTACAGCAGCAAAACTATTAGTATTAATTATAATAATAATTATAATGTAATCCAAATACTGCCAAATAATAGGTAGATTAGACTTTAGACCTACTCCGTGTGTCCCACTCAGCGAATTAATATCTGACTAGTGACTAGAATAGATCAACTACTAGATCTATCTGTTTGGAGTTGTAGCATGACTACTACAGTACTAGTACTACAGGACAGTGTGAGTGTCACTACTAGAACTAAAAAAAAATCTCTAATTATTCTCTAACCTACCTAGATCTTGTAGGTAGGTTAGAGAATAATTAGAGATTTTTTTTAATACCTACTACTACTAGTACTACCTACACTTTCAAATATCAATCATTCATGTCGCAGATTCCAAGCCACTCTTAACTCTACTCTCAACTGAACTCAACTCTATTGTGACTCTTATCTCTAGATCTAGATCTTCTAATCTAATAAATCTAATCTAGAGTCGCAAGAGACTAGATCTAGTTTAGATCTCTCTATATATATAATATATATATATTATAGAATCTATATAGAATATAGATCTATATTGTATATTAATAGGCCTATATATTAACTATATATTATATATAGATCCAGTGGCGGAACTAGAAAAAAAGGGCCACCCCGCAAAGAATTTTTTTGGGCCCCATATATATATATATATATATATATATATATATATATATATATATATATATATATATATATATATATATATATATATATATATATATATATATATATATATATATATATATATATATATATATATATATGTATATATGTATATATATATATATGTATATATATATGTATATATGTATGTATATATATATATATATATATATATATATATATATATATATATATATATATATATATATATATATATATAGGAAATTACCAACACAGAATACTCATTTCGGGCTTGTTCGAAAATTTAAAAAAGGATCACTAAAATACTTAGTTTTTATTAATAAGTAATATAAGTTACAACAGGTCATTTGTGTGATTGCTATTGGTCTGTTTTGAAAATCTCTGTTATGTCTACTTAGATGCCGTCATGATTAGGTCGGTCGAAATAATATAAAGCATGAAAGCTGTGTATGTGTAATGGTTTCTCGCCTTATGTTTATTTTTATGTTTTTTTCTTGTAATATTTTTAGTTTTAAATGCGTTTCCTTTTTATGCTTTGTTATTCTTTATTATGTATTTTTTTAAAAATAATAATTAAGAGAAGTAATTGCTTTTTAATTTGTTTAGTGCAAATTTATTAAAAGGCGCTTAAGAGCACACATATTTGACTAGTTAAAAAGGGGAAATAAGTCATGGAAGTGGTTTGAACAATTGCGTATCTTTCACGCGATGGGTTTATTTTCAAAAGAATTTTGCCGACAACAGCGTGTGTTTGATTGTAGGAAAAAGAGGACTTGGGATGGTGTGTCTATAGAATAAAGAAAATCCAACCGCAGCTGCAGTATTCTTTTTACAAAACAACCATGAAGTCAAAAATGAAAGAAGATTATTTTTTTTAACTGTAAAAAAATTGATTATAGTCGGCTGCGGGCCCCTAAACGTCCCGGGCCCCCCCGCAATGCGGGGTCTGGCGGCACTGTAGTTCCGCCCCTGTATAGATCTAGAATCTAGATGATGACTGGAGTGTAAAGTTTAAGCTGTATGCCTGGCTATACTATTACTATTGATTTGCGTGACCTTTGACCTTATTGCCAGTATCACAACAAAAACATCCTATTTTTTTTTTTTTTTTTTATGGTTGTCCGATTACATGAGTCGTACACACTGGCATATATAGAATCTAAGTCGATTACTAGATCTAGACTCTAGTTTCTAGATCTTCTTGATACATTTCATAAGTATTTAGATCTGGATTTAGATATCGGCTAACCTAAACTAGATTTATTTAGGCCAGTCTAAAAGCAACACTACTTAAAACTTAACTACTAGAAATCTAATACTAAACTACTAGATCTAAATACTAAAAAATACGCTTCAACAAAGTTTATCAGATTCAGCTCTGCATCATTGCCAGGAAAGAAACATTAAGCACATAAGTTAGTGAGACTAAATTAAATATTAATAAATATAGATTCTAAGTAAATAAAGAGTAAGACCTTGACTAGTTCGGCGACTTAACTGTACATTAGAATTAGAAATACAGAAATCAAATGACACAATAAAAACAATATTCTTATTTCTAAAAAGTATCAGCACAGTCCACTATACTTTACAATAACTATTAGATCTAGATCTAGACTAGAAGGCTGCTAGTAACTAGAAAGATCCGTATTCGTGGTGCAGGATAAGGAAAGATAGTGGACTGTTAGAACCTCACCCCATGAACCTCCCTTTTACTTTTGGTTATTAAAATATTAAGGGGTGTAATAAAAGTTAGGCCTATAATAATAATAGCATAAGGCATTGTAGATAGACCTATATTATATATTTAGGCCTATTAGAGAAAGCCTATACTATACATACTGCCATTTAACCTTCCTACTTATAAATGACAGGGTGTCAATTAATTACACTTAGATGAATAGTTTATGTAGCCATAAATTCCTTCTTTCAATGCAGATAGATAACATGCTTTATCCCCTGCCCTTGTTTTTATGAAGAACCGGGGCGACCTTAGCAACTACATGAACATCGTATCCAAAAGGTGTCTGTTTAGCTTGCAAAAAGATTACAAAATGCACTTAAATCACACCCTGTCTTGTTATTTTTTATTCTAAATTAAAGGAAATGAACCTCGCCTTAACCACTTGACAGAGCAAGATGGAGGTAAAAGATAGCCACATATCCTTCTCAAGTGATTATAAAGGACTTAAGTCATTGCATGGCAGAGATTCAATGGTATGTTTAATATACTTACATTTTCAATACTACACATTAACATGTTAAATGGGTGATGGGTGTTAATTATTTAGTTGAGGTGTATGTTTCTCCTGGAACAATGTTATATTACACCGCCTTTGATTTTCTTTATTGTTATATCTGTACACATTTTTTACATTTTTGTGATTTAGAATGGTTAGAACAATAAGTTATCTTTCTTTAAACTCAATATAAGATCTCTCTGTTTCTAATGAAGATGTAACAAGAAATGTCTTTAACATGAATTGATTTCTAAACGTTACAGTTTTTAATAAAAAAAAAAGGTTGACACAAAATTGTATTAGTATTGGTTGGTATTGAGTATTTCATAGAAATTATATATATTATGGGTGGGAGAGGAGGGATATTCATCTGGGTTTGGTTGTTTAACAACAGACCTATTTTTGAGTTATATAAATGTGATGATCTCTTAACAGCAAGCAGCATTTCAGATTTAAATACTATAATGATAGATTTTTATTGTGTGTTTTCTCAAAATTTTTGTTACACTTTTTGTCCATCATTCATTGTGATGTTTCTTGGTTATTTTAAGTTAGTTTCATTGAAATCTTAAGATTTTAATGTTGTAAACTATCTAACTGATTTAATAAAAAAAAATCCAGTTACTTTGGTTCATTCATATGCATTGCATTTGCATCAATTTTATACCAGTTAGTCACACTACAATGTCTCTAATATTTCAATACAGAAAATATACAAACCATAATTTAGAATTGCTTTTGCATCTCTTTTGATGTACTAGAGTGATATGTCTTTGATATATTTACAGAGAGCAAATAAACTGCTTGATGTTGCTCTGCAGAGCTGGAAATTGGGACAGTACACGGATATCACAATATCAGTGGGTGGTCAAACTTTTAAAGCTCACCGGATAATCCTGACTTCCTTGTCAGATTTCTTTCATCCCCTAATGCAGGTAAAATAATAAGCTGTGCAGTTTCTTTAATTACTTTACAATGTGCGTGTGTGTCTGTTTAATCTTGTTTTCAAACATCATCTTTTGTTTTACACCTCTTCAATATAAAAACTATGTTTTTACTCATATAAAATGTAAATTGCACCGTATTATTTATGTCACAGATATTATATACTTTTTTATTAGATTACATATCTTACTATGATCTTTATAAAAGTGGTAGTGTATTTTTCTATTTTATATATTGCATGACCTTAAAAGTATTTTTACTTTTTTTTTAGCTGGACGATAAAGGAACAGGTGTGGTTAAGCTAGGAAATAACATTGAGCCCGCAGACTTTGCTGTTCTGTTAGAGTTTGCTTACACAGGTCAAGTCGAGATCACCACAGAAAATGTTCAGAACCTCTTGGTCTCAGCAGATTATCTTCAGGTGGATTATGTCAAGCATGAGTGTATCAAATTCATGCAACGTTATTTGGATCTTGATAACATTTTTGATGTCTTAACATTAGCAAGTAACCACTCCTTGGTTGAGTTAAAAGCCTGTGCTGTTGAGTTTTTTAAAAGGAATTTAGATAAAATTTCTAAGTGTAAGCAATTTGTTGCAGAATTCTTTTATTCTGATGATTTGGTTTTGTATGAGAATAATCTAAATTTGATCTCTACAGAGAGAGAGTGTTTGATTTTGACAGCTGTTCTCAGATATTTATCTGGTCAACCTAAAGAAAATATTACTATAATAGACAGACTTATTAAATCAGTAAGGTTGGCACAGCTTCCAATGTCACAAATAAATAATTGCCTGGACAAATGTAAAAGCCTACGGAAACACAAAGTTATCAAGAAATATGTCAAGTTACGAGAAGGTATTAAACAAGGGGAACCGGTTAAGTCAGGATCTGATATCCCAGAAGCTTGGACCAGACCTAGAAAATTAGCATGCTCTGAAATTTTTGTGGGAAACAGAAGGTATGCAGATGGTGGAGAAGTTGCTGCATGCCCTGAACCTCCAAGTTTTTTATACCAAGATCCCAACATTAGACTTAGGAAAATAGAAATATGGACAAGGCGTTGGAGCTCTAGCATTGTCATAGCCGGTTTAACATTAACCTATGATAACCCACTCTTGCCAGGGACTGTTCATGTAAGTACTTTTGGCTCAGAGGAAAGAGCTATCAAACGTTACCAAATTGAACTTGAACCTGATGAATTCATTATAAAAAGTGTTATTCGTAGTGGCTGGTTAATTGATAGCCTTAGTTTTACCACTAATAAGAGAAAGAATTTGGGCCCATTTGGTGGTAATGGAGGTAATGAATACAGTGAGTCTGCTGCCAGCGGGACATTATCTTACCTTTATGACATTTGCTGTGACACTGTAATTACAGAGGGCTCTAAAGCAATTTATAACCTAATGTTTCGCTGGATCAAATTTATGTAACATTGTTAAAGAAGTATTGAGTTAATTAAATGTTATCAGGAAAAAGATGTCAAAAAGTTTAAATCCTTGTGCAAATATATTATTAAGCAAGTTTTTATTATGTCATATTTAAAAAAAAATTATTTCCTTTCTTAAACTGTGAATTAATTCATAAAAAATCAAACCAACTAAATTAGCATAGGCCTATAAATATAAGGCTACACCTTTGATATTGTAGGCTAACAATAGTGAAATACACTTTTTTCAACGTCTGTTTTCTACCTGTTAAAACTTGTTACTTTATCATAGCAATCAATTGTATTGATGTGCAGGACTGTAAAGTAAGCTTCTTTACAAGAGTATTCTAAATATACAATACACTGGTCTAAACTCTAAGGTTTCAAAGTATATATTTAATAATGTATTTAATAATGTATGTATGTTCCAAAATTTAGGAGAATTTCCTGCAACATAATCATGCAGTTGATTTCAGCAGTGATAATAACAAGGGAATAAACATTTCATCTATATTCATTTGTTGTCACTTCAATATAATTATTATAATAGGCTTGAGCGGGCACTATGCAATAGCCTCTTTTTTTTAATCAAGTCTTACAAAAAAGCTATATAAAGCTGTTTTGCTTTGGCAGGTTGAATGTTTTGTACTGATTACTGTAGAGATCTAAATATTAAATAATGTGAACAAATTAAATATTAAATAATGTGAACAAATCGATTTTAAAAAAAAAATGTAGGATATAGGCCTAAACATTTGCACTGATACAGTGATAGTGGTAGGCCTACTATTTATGTTGGAAAATATTGTTATGCAATTCACACAATTGCCTCTTATGCTTAATTGTTTTGTATGTAGCAATAAAATAAAGATCATTCAATTATCTGCAACAATTTGATTACTTTTTCCCCCGTATATATATATATATATATATATATATATATATATATATATATATATATATATATATATATATATATATATATATATATATATATATATGATTGTGTGTGTGTAAGGCTTATTTTTTTCAGGGCCGGGGAATATATGCTCATCGGAAATTTGACATGAAGTAATATATCTAATAGTAAGCCTATTAATAAATATGTGTACATGGCAAAGCGGAAGAACGATGATCAATGTAGATAAATCTGTTTATTAATTATTATTTTTAAAAACTGAAACGAAATAAACCGGGAGTGATCTCCCCTAAACTTTCTCGAATATTCTTATATAAAACAACAGGGGATGAGAACTCGGGCTATAGACATGATTTTTAATCCATTTTAAATACTTAAAGTTTTAAAAATAGAATAAAATCTCGTAGACAAAAGATTGCACACCAAGTGAACGCCAAATAAAAAAGTGCATAATAGTGCGCAATATTATTAGTACTTTAAAAATTTACATTAGTTTTTTGAGAAATCAGAAGTAGCGTAAATTAGTACTTGCGTGCAACGGACATTACTCAAAATTTGACAGAAGGTAGAGAATTAGATCTTATACTTACATGTGAAATTTCATTTATCTATCTGAACTAGTACTCAAGTTATAGGCTTTTGAAAAATTCAAAGTAGAAAAAGTACCACTTCCGGTTATCGGAAATCGCTCAAAAGTTGATACGGATCTACGATTTTGATAAAATACTTATATATGAAATTTCATCAACCTAGCTATAACGGTACTCAAGTTATCGTGTTTACACACGGACAGACAGACAGACACACAGACATACGGACAGAATTGCAAAGCCCAGTTTTTCAGACTGGATTACGCATAAAACCTCTTAATTTTGATAAATCTGGATTGATAATTTTTGCCCGATTAAAATAAGTCCTCTATACTTCGGATGTGATGAAGGACTGAGGTGTAATACGGTAAAAAATTTTAAAATTATAAGTGATTTTTGTGCACGATTACAATACTTTCTCTATACTTCGTACATACGAGAAAGTAAAAAGCTACTACTGTGCTGGAAAAGTAGGCCTATGAAACTAAAAATAGAAAATGTGTCAACCGGAAGTTAGTATCGGCAACCTTTGCCCTACGGATATTATAGGCCGTTAGTTCTGTGTAACTAATAATAATAACACGCAGATAATACAAAATCTTTCGTTTTTCTTTCGAATAAAACACACATTATGGCAGTTTTCGAAAGCATAGGAACATGCCAGCTTGTTTTTATTGTATTATTTCTTGTTTTACCAATACTGTATCAGACTTCCAGTACATTTAAGTATCATTTTAAATTGTTTGTTTACTACTTTCTCGTGCTTTTGATTGGCTTTGCTGTCACAATTTACTCTTTACCCCGACCAAGGGATACAAGAAATCATTTGTAAGTAAAATAAAGAGAGAATGTTCAATGTTTACACCGGTGTCCGATAATGGAATCTTCTTTAAAAAAGGGGTGTTAGGTTACTGGTAGTTAATTAAATAATTTAAATACACACATGGCTGGCTAATGTCATTGTCAATGCTAACCCTGCTAACTCCAATCATGGTCCTACCATCAAACGCCTAAGTAATTTTTAACTATAAAATTAGTCGAGATTACAATACTACTACTAACAACCCAACACCCCTTTTTTTAAAAAGAAGATTCCATTATTGGACACTGGTATCTAGATCTATAGTCAATATTCAATAATCATCCAAGTTGTTTGTAAGTTAGTCTTACTGCTTACTAGATCTAGATCTCTGATCTAGATCTAATAATAACTAAACTACTAAACTAGATCTAGAATCTAGATCAAATAGAGAAGTTAGAGGAGTATCTCCATTTTAAATGTCCAACCAGTACAGTTAGTAGTTGTAGAATGTAGTGGTCCATAAATGATGTCACACTTGTAGGGGGAGGGGGGTCCGTAATTTTGTGACGGTGTGTGATGAGAGGAAGGGGTCAGGCTTTTGCATTATAAAAAAGCTGTTAGAAAACGAGTTTTAGCTGTTATTTCGCGTTTTAGAAAGCTGTTAGAAAATTTGTAATAGGAATTGATAAAAATACTCTATGATGACAGAGTTCAGACAAGATTTTGGAAAAATATCAATGTTTTAAGAAAAATTCAACTGCAATTTCGAGGGGGGTTGTAGGCTGAGGTGTGACGTCATTTGGGGGGGGGGGGGGTTCTGGCTATTTGTGATGATGTATGACTGAGGGGACGGGGGGGGGGGGGAGGTAAGAATTGTCCATAAAAGTGTGACGTCATTTATGGATGACCCCAATGTAGATGCTTCTACTTCTCTTCAAAGACTAGATTCTATGATAGATCTAGATTACTAAGATTAGTGATTAGCAGAATAGATCTAAAACTTACTGTACTTTCACTTTGCCATAGCCCAAATACTATTTAATATTAATTAATGAATCCCTAGCAGAACAGAATTTCCCCCTCTTCTCCACTGGGCATCTAATCCAACCAATGGTATAGGCCACTATAGGCTTGTTTCATTGAGATATATAATTCCAAAATAAACCTGAAGCAATAATAAAAACATTCTCATTTTATTTCAACACCGTGGGCCTACAGTGTATAGTGAAGACATAATAATCATTGAGTCACTTGTATAGATATTTTATAGTGGCTATTTATTATTTGTCATAGTTCATCTATATTTGGCCATAGTGTTACTTACCTCTAATTTACATCTAATTTAGTCAACTGATCCTTATTCTTATTTCTGTGCTATAGGCCTAATTATGCATAAGTTTAGGCTGTTTAAGTTGCCAGTTGCTGAGTAATTGGTAAATCCAGAAATTTCTCCAAATTGCATTCTGAATACATAACGTTTTCAGACTAACTTAACTTCCTTCAAACATAAATAAAATTGGTTAATCATAAGATTTAAAATAATTCTCAAACAAATAATTGTTTTTGAATTTTAAAAGAAATCTGAAATATAATTTTCCATTTGCTAGTAGGTAAATTATTTTGTTTTCCTTGCAAAAAAAAAAAAACAACTTATGTTCATATATTATGATGTTATATTATGTTTAGCATTATGTTGCTACCAAATTTCATAATACTTTTCTCACTTTTTTGTTTTAGTTTTGTGTCATGGTGCGTCAAAGCATTTCTAAGACATGTTGCTGGGATGGAGGTTGAAATACGTGGGCAAGAAATCTTGAAAAAAGATGAAACTGCTGTTATCGTTATGAATCACCAGAGCTCTCTTGACATGATTCGTGTGTAACTTTTGTTCTCTAAAAAAAATTTTTTTTTACTGACACGCAATTCTGGCTTACCCTTCTTGACAATGATTGTAAATTTTAAAAAATTGTAAATATTAGCTTTTTATTTAACTTTTTTATTTTACAACAAAAAGAAAATGTTTTTAACTTTGTGGATGATGGATTTTTATAACTTTTCAGCATTGTTTATGATTTGGCCTGAAAATTGTGTAAGTCTGGCTAAAAAGGAGCTCTTTTATGCTGGTCCATTTGGCATAGGAGCATGGATGTGTGGGACCATATACATTGATAGACTCAATCATCAAAGTGCTAGGAAAACAATGGAGGACACTGCAGATCTCATCAAACATAAAAAGGTAAATACATTTAATAGGGTAATGTACTACAGTTTCTGGTTTGGTAAGCTTGTATTAGGTAGTTAGTAGTTAAGTAATTTTGCTGGCTATTGTCAAAACTAATCTTTATCTTATAGGCCTATATATTTCTATCATTTTTATTAGTAACCTAACCTTTTTTTTAAGAATCCATAGTTAGACAGAGAAACCCAATGTGCACTGAAAGTGATTTTAAAAATACATTTCTGATAGTATAATTAAATAAATGCACTTTCATAATTTTTATCTCCCCTTTAAAATTTTATTTTTGTTTTTAGTTCTAGCTTTAAGTTGAGATTAGTGCACTAGTTTGATTTGGGAATGGGAGTTTTCTATATTTTCTTTCTAATTAGATAAATATGTATTTATATATTATGTTTTTACTTTACAAGTGTAATACAAGTACTCAAGCTGTATAAAACATGCTTTTTTTCGCAGGTATAGTTTACTTCAATTGTATTGGTTGACACATGTTTCTTTCTCCATTTTAATTTTAATAGTTAAAAGTAGCCATTTTTGCTGAAGGAACACGTAACCACAAAGGATCAATGCTGCCTTTTAAAAAGGGGGCATTTCACCTTGCTGTCGCTGGGCAGGTGAGCAAATGAAACATTTAGTTTAGCTGTCACAATTTTGTATACCTTTATACATTAAATATTAGAAACATACAGTATTATTCAATAGTTTTCTATATCCATATAAAAACTTCATGTTGTCATCACATGCTCACCATGTCCCATCTTATATTTCAGGTTCCAATTATTCCAGTTGTTTTTTCTTCCTACAACAACTTTTACAGTAAACCTGATAAAAGGTTTGATGAAGGTGCGTTATTTTATTTTTTATCATTCTTATCCACAGTGAAGTTATTGTAATGTGTATGTACTCTGGTCACCACACATTATAATTTCCTAGATATTCTATCTTTGTATGCAGTTATGTGTTGTCACTAGTTATTTTCTAAAGTAATGCTTGATAAAAATGCTTTCTTGAATTTGAACATATCTCAAATAGACATTTTTATTTGACATTGTTGTTATAGATATGATATCTCTTATTACAGCAAGTGAATAATTTTCATATTGAATGAAAAAAAAGCTGTTCTACTCATATTATCAGTGTGATATGTATTTAAATTTACCAGTTTTAAGATTTTATAACCATGGGGAGTTATACCATCACATACATTATTTTTAATAAAAAACCCACACATTTATCTATGAAAAAAAGTACCCTTTCAGACCTGATGGTATCAAAGGGCTAATGGAGAAAAGTTCTTGAGTTTTTTCTTTTTTACCTAAGCCTATGAAAGAAGAATGAAGTGAATAGCCCAAGCAACTAGGTGGACTCAGGGATCAAGGGCATGCTTCTAACTTATGAATGGAAACTAAATATTAGAATTTTCAGTTAAAATGTAAACTCTTACCCCTTCCTGGTAACTATTTCTGGTAATTAATTTATAGGCTTATTATTGGACAGGTCGTGTGATTCTTGAAGTTCTGCCACCCATCTCCACTGTTGGACTCACAACAGATGACGTGACGTCTCTTACAGAGCTAACCAGAGAGAAAATGCTGGAGTGTTTTGATCGGATTAGTGAAGAAGCCAAGACATTTTAAAGCCCAGTGAAATCCATTCTACATCAGGCTGTTTGTGTGGGTGTACAAGGTGCTAGAGCATTGTCAACAAAGGTGGAATTTTTTTTTTTTGGATCTGATTGTTTGAATGCTTGTGCAAGAACTCTATAACTGACTCTGCGAGTCTAGGGAGTGACAAGAAATAATTTAGCTGGTTAAAATGATGGTTGGGGCATGACAGATTACAGTGAATATAAGCTGGTGTTTAAATAGAGTAATGAATACCCCAATACAAAATTTACATCAATGTAGCTGCTATAGCCCTCTCTTTTTGTTTCTAGTCCAAAGTCCGTATAAATGCTTATCTATAGCGTCAGTTCATCACTGGTTGTTACTAAATCAAATAAGGGGTAACTTCTTTATCGTAAGGTTACAAAACTTGTGTTGCAAACAAAAATGTATCATACCTCACATTTTACAGTGGGTCAACTTACACTTAGAACTTACATAACTAACTGTAAATGCTGTCAACTGGGTTTCTCAGTGTAGTATTTTTTAATGCTTTCTATAGTGTAAATTCTTTAATTGATAGAAACAGCTTTGAAAAGGTATATCTATATCTCAACTGATAGAAACAGTTTTGAAAAGTTATATCTCATGGGTAACAGGAGTACATTTTTTGAATGAAAGGGTATTTTAAATCAGATATGAATGGTGGCTTTAACTTTTCGTTGTAGAAAATCAATGCTTTAATATGTACTTTGTTCTATTTTTAGAACCTATTTATTGGCTAGTTGTTTTTTTTTTAAACTAATCTTGTCAAAATTAAGTTGTTTTAAAATCAGTTATGTCAAGCTATTAATTGACAAGCTATTAGTTCTTATTGTTTTAATTTAAAATATTTTTGTATGACCAATTAATTTGTGTACATTCTGAAAGTTATTAGTGGCATTTTAAAGCCATTGTAATTTACTAAATTTCTGTACAATGTTTTAATAATAATTATTATTTATTGGTGGTGCTTTGAATAAATTGTAACAACATGCATTTTGCTTAGAATGTTTTAATTCCTTGAAAATTTACCAAATTACAAGTATTGTGTTACTTTTATTTCAGAAAATAGTTTTGAGGCATTTAAACTATGTCCTGTTCATGTTGATGTAGTTTTTTACCAAAATGTTATCGCATGTTTAAAGAAGTTTTTTTTTTCTGACACTTTTTTTCACCAATATTTTGAATTTTAAGTTAAATTAATCATATCTTTTTTTTAATACTTCTAAAAACCTAGTGTTCAATAAGTACAAAGAATTATTTGTATGTACTGTAGATTAATCTGTCACACCTGCTTTCATCACTAATCTATATTTAGAACAAAAGAAAAAGTTTCTTTTCTGATAAATGTTAATGAAATGATTAATATATATTTCTTAACATTAGCTTACAAATTTGAAAAAGCTTTAAAAAAGTTTAATTTTTTTTCTGTGATAAAATCCACAAGTTCTATGAGTAAAGAAATGGTTGAGGTAAATAGGTCATGCTTTAAACTGGGTAAGTCTTTGTATACTTTTATTAGTCCTGTGATACAACTCTTGTAAAAGCTACATTTTGGTAATAAGAAGAAACACTTATTGTTTGAATGCTAGACTTGTTAGCATTAATGTTAAATGCAGATCAACTATTGGCCAGAACGGTTGTGCTTTTCATTGTATCATATTTTTGTTTCTTAAGCCTCTGAGTTTTTACATTCTTTAAGCAGATTTTAACATTACCCAAAGGGTAAACACAATCTTCTTCACTTTCAACCATTAATTCATTTTTTTCTATTTACATTTTAAAATTTCTCAATTTAAAATAGAAAGCACTTTTTTTCTTCTATTAAAAAGATAAACAGAAAAAAACTAAAAAAATTTTTTGGGTCTATCTTTGACTGTCTTGGACCTTTGAAACTTATAATGTCACTACAGTTTGTATTGAGCTGAATTACAGTTTTCTTCCAAATACTTCCATTTGTCTTCTCTGCTTTTTCAATTAACTCCCTTGCCATTAAAGATGCTAACATTTTGCAATACAGGCACAAATATTTCACACACAGGAAGTGGTTAAAATATAAAATTTTTGATAAATTATGCACATAGAATGTTAACATTTTACTAAAATACATTTACAATTTTAAAAAATAACAGCGCAACCTTTTTAAAATGTTAACATTCTACAGCATCTTATTTTAAACAATACATGTTTTCAGAAAATATATACAGTTTACAAACATGACATATATTAACCTTTAACAATGCAACAGTTTGACAAACAAAATTTTTTATCAACAAAATCAAATTCTTGCCATGCAGTTGTTCATGATTTTATTCACATTACTTGTAATATAGCTTTGACGTTATTTATGTTTAGAATATTGCAATCGTTATTTTTTATAACGCTTTTTCTTGCTGACTGCAAGTTTTAAATTTGTATTGATTACACTCAGTATTCCAATCAAACAGTTGTCTTTGATCTGTTGAATTTATCACAGGACTTGTTCTCTAATGTAATGTTATTAACGACACCAATATGCCAAGTGTCTTTTGCTATTTCAGTCTTTGGAAGTACACAAAGCTTGTTATTTAGTTCAGATTGTAAACAGAGATGTAACTTTTCCATTTTCTAAACCAATCTTATTTTGCCATCCGAGAAAAAATTTCTATTGAAGTTTTTTATGGTGAAATTGTTAAAAAAAACTTATATTTAAATTCATGATTTACATTAATATTGTCTTGAATACCCACCTAGAAAATTTGAAAATGCAATTGATTTTGTTGTCAGAAACATGGCTATGCATTCTGTTAGTTTTATGCAAAAAAAATGTCCATTCTTAGATGGTCAGTTACATCTTTGTGTTTACTTAAAACAAATGTGTTTAAAACAAATTAACTTGAAAATGTACAAAAATAAGATATAGAAAGTAATAATTCTGCAAGTGTTTAAGTTGAAGTTATTAAAATAGTTGTAATTCAAAATCCTTTGTTAGTTAAAATTACAAGTTTATTTTATCTGAATTTATTAAATTTAAAAGATTTTAAACTAAAAGCTTTCAAAGAATAAGTATTCCTTTAGGATTTAACTTTTTAGTATGTAATTTTGTTATAGTACCATGAATGAAGATTGAAAAAACAAAAATATTTTTATATAAATACTTTGTCCTATACTGTATTATATCATGGAAGTATTGGAAACAAAAATAACATTCTGCCTGATTTTGTTATCTATATTTTATGTAGGCCTACAGAATGAGGTCAATATTTTAATCAGTTCTATTATGTGAGTTTTTATGCTGGTACAAAATATAACAAGGGATATAAATTTGGTTAGTTTTGTAGTGCCAAAGTGTATCTGCATTTATTATTTTGGTTTCTTTTCGATATGAATTTGCTTGGTTATACTGTTGTACTAGGGATTGTCACAAATATTTTTCTCCCTTTGAGTAACAACACAGCTATCAGGGGCAAGTCCAATGTTAAAATAAAAAACAATATTCAATGGTTGTCCAAGTTTTTATTTACATTTAACTATTTTGAAATTAGTACAGATGGTTCCTATAGAGAGTTGGGTTAGAACAGAGTGAGAAAATTTGTTTGTACGGAAATGTGTTTGTGATAATGTGATAGAGAGTTTAAGAGTAAGTTGAAACTTTGAGGGCATTCCCTTGTCTTGTGGTGTGAGATTTTTAAAATATCCCCCTCCCTCAAGGTATTTATCCTTGGCCTGGAAATCTAAAGTGCAAAGTTCACAAACTTTACCAAACAGAAAGAGATACTAAAGACTTAATCTTATAGTGCAAGGTGAACAAGTTCTGGTTGTGTGATACTTGACAGTACAAAGTGCAGGATAAAGTTTGATTAACATGCATTTTTATCTGTTTATAACTGAAAGTGCATGTTAGCAAAAAAAAAAATTAATAAACACTCAATGTTTACCAAGCTCAGTATATATTTTTTTAAAAAGAAATTTCTGTTTTTAAAAAAAGTATCTTAAATGTGTGTGTAAAGTCCTTTACGGACATGAGCTAAAACAACCCTTAACCTATCGCAGAGGCATAGCGAGGTGGGGGGGGGGGGGGGGTGGGCAGGGGTGCGGACCGCACAGGGTGACACCATTTAGGGGGGTGACACCAAAGCAAAAAATAGCAAAATATATTGAGAAAAACTTGAGGGGGGGGTGCAAATCGAATGTTTGAGAGGGGGGGGGGGGGTGGGGGGGACACCAAAGCAAAAAATAGCAAAATATATTGAGAAAAACTTGAGGGGGGGATGCAAATCAAAAGTTTGAGGGGGGGGGGGTGCAAATCGAAAGTTTGAGGGGGGGGGGGGGGTGACACCATTAAGTGCCGCACCGGGTGTCACCCGACCTCGCTACGCCACTGACCTATCGAAGTGTTGATCAACCTTCATGCTTAATGACAATCTATGCCTGGCTAGTACTGGCTATCTATTAATGTAATATAGAACGTACCAGGAGTTTACAGTCATTTTAGAGGATACACACCATCAAATACATGCTTGGCATACCCAGACAGTTGTATTTTAGTAAAGACAGCGGATCCCTCCTTGTACTCAATGATAAAATCCACAGTTAATTTTCCTCCTCTAGTAGATATACACTGACTCACAGCCTTTCCATTCAGAGATTTCAAATCTGATGGAACAGCCATTGCTTCCTCATGGTTCTTCTGATTATAGTTTAATTTTCTTACAAAGTCAGAGATAGCTACAGCTACTGCTCCAGTTCCACATGCTAACGTTTCATCTTCCACTCCTCTTTCATAAGTCCTGACCTGCAGGATTTTATCTTTTTCAACAGTTTTATTATCTATTTTCATAGATACAAAATTTATATTACTTCCCTTTTCACCGTAGAGCCCATACCTCAGTTCTTTCCCTTCGGTGAGCACATCTATGACATCAACATCACGTGACACAAACCTCACGTGATGTGGAGACCCGGTGTCTAAAAATAGATCGCCGTTTGGGTATATTTTTATATTTGTTAACAGAACGTCTTGGAAGTTAACGAAATAAATAAAATTCTCATCGCCATTTTCAGTAATATCTGAACCTAAAACTCCGCCCTCGTGGACTCCATCCGATGCCTCGAATTTATAAACCGGTAACTTATTTGCCTCGTTTTGAGAGCGTGGAGCCGAACCATCAATGCCAAGGCTCCACGCAAAAGCCACCGCACACCGGCAACCGTTGCCGCATAAGCTTCCCGCCCTGCCGTCCGCGTTAAAGTACAGAAGTGAAAAGTGGGATGATTTGCTTGAACGAATTTCCAAAATGCCGTCTGCGCCGATCCCAAACCGCCTGTCGCACATCCGCTGTCTCATCTCATTCGTTAAATCATAGCTACCGTCTCTGTTGTCTAGGGCGATAAAGTCATTCCCAAGCCCTTGGTACTTTGAAAATTGTATTGAAGCCATTCTCGAACTTTACCTGTGAACTAAAATATTCGTTACATCAGACACAATGACGTCATTCAATTACATTAGCGCCAATCAGACTCGTCTAGAAGTTTTGGCCAGATATTTTAATCCTAATTATTTTGACGGTATCTTTTTGTTAAGACGTTTTTGGATTCTATTTTTAATGACAGCGACCATTGTTTCTTTAAAGCATCTCTCCGCAAATGCCCCTCCCCCCTCCAAAGAAAAATGTCTAAAAGAAACAGTGACAGTGACTCTATGACTTTGACATACCCGGTCTTCACTGTGATCAACTTTAAAGTTAAAAAAAAAAAAAAAAAACTCTGGCCTAAATTTTACCCATACACGTTGAAGTTGCTACATTACTTTATAAGGTTTTTTTCAGCAACGTTTCTTTCAAGCACTCCTCGGGGTACCCCCGACTACCCCCCCCCCCCAATTTTATCTACCCCCACCCTCAATTTTATCTCCCCCCTCCCCCCCCCCTCATACACTCCAACAAAGACGGGAAATCATGGTTAAATTCTGATTTCATAAGTACACGTTTTTGTAAGATTTAAATCATTTCCCTCAAAATACCCATGATCTTTAGAATTTCTCTTCTAAGCTTTTAAATTGTAAATACGTGAACTCTTCATTTACCATTAAAATATAACGTACACGTTTTACAACATTGCACAGCTAAATATATTTATTAAGTAGACTAATTAGAGGTATAGTAATAATGAAATAATTTAAACTATTCTAAATTAGGGAACTCTAGTAACCGAAATATTTACCGTGATTTTTTCGATTTCGCATACGGGAATAGACTTGAAGTAGCGTTTATAAACAATGGCTGTTGTATGAATATACCTTAACCCTTGAAAAAAAATAGGCAGATATAGAGAACAGCATGACTAAGTAAATCTTCGTAGGCTTTTCATTACACTCGCGTGTGTACCAGGTCAGCCGTGTTGTAGGGCATAGTGTTAAAGCCGATGATTCTGGACCAATGCGTTTATTTTTAGCGTAAAAAAATACTTGTTTTTGTCTATTCTATATTTAATTCGGTACATATTCAAAATCTAGGTCTATATATAATTCATTGTGTTCATATGTCCTGTTTTTATTTTTTTAAACCCCACAACAAACGTATGTTTTGTAAGGGTCTTGTATTAAAGCCCTATCCTGATTGATTTATTTTAAATATGTAGGCCTATATATCTTATAAAAAACAAAAATAAAACTAAAGATAGCGGACTTTGTGACTTAAGATTTGATATCAATGTCAAATGTCAAGGTTTGATATCAATGTCAAACATGAATTGTATGTCAGGTCTTATGCACCTACCACATAAAGATTACATTATTTTCCAAGGAATCTGGGTAGATAATTCTACATAACAGGAATTCTTTCTGACGAAACCCATTCAAGGTATCAAATAAGTTAGTAGTGTTAAAGTTCAATAACTAGGCCCACTTCCATAGATTTTCCTAAAAAAAAATAGCCTACTCGTCTGTTCTAGGTGTGTAAATCTTGACAGACGTCATACATACTTTGCCGATAAGTCCTGATAAAAGTGAAAGTGCTGACCTGCTTTTATCGCTGACCCAAAAACGGTATAAGTGGGTTCGGTATATGTAACAAAAAGGATGGGAGAGGTGTAGGCTACATGACAGACACGAGCGGATCAATGAAGGGTTTGTGGGGAGCTTAGTCACCCCATCGCACATTTACACACATTTACACATACACAACACACACATAACACACACATGTATATATATATATATATATATATATATATATATATATATATATATATATATATATATATATATATATATATATATATATATATAGTGGCGTAGCGAGGGGGGGAGCGGGGGGGGGATGCGGACCACACCGGGTGAAACAATTTGTGGGGGGGTTGTGACACCAAGACTAAAAATAGCAAAATATATAGAGAAAAATGATAATTCCAGTTAATTAAGTGATTAATTCGAGTGTTAAAAAGTTTTTCAAGAGCAAATTTGACAAACCCCGACAAGGGTGGAAGGGAGGCGGGGGAGGGGTGCAAATCGAAAGTTTGAGAGTGGGGGTGCAAATCGAAAATTGAAAGTTTGTCCCCGGGCGCCGGGAAGGGACGCTACGCCTCTGGGGGTGACACCATTAAGTGCCGCACCGGGTGACACCCGACCTCGCTACACCATGGTATATATATATATATATATATATATATATATATATATATATATATATATATATATAACTTTACCCCCACCCTGCTCGAATAATATGCTGGAACCACCAATGAATTGGGGGGGGGGGGGAGGATTCCCGTAAAAAAATGAAATCATTACGGAGGATTTGAACTGTTTGATCACATGACTAGAGCTGACATCACGTGAGCAGTCTGACGGCGAAAGAACAGTTCCCCTTCTAGCCTCTGTGTGATCCGCAACAAAGGATCATTTATACTGCAGATCATACGTTGTCTGTCTTTTATTTCTTCTTTACTGGTGTCAAATATCTAACAGAATAAATAAACGGGTGTAGATGGGCGGGGCTGCCTTTGATTCAGTATTAAAAAGATGGAGCAGCCTCTTGTTTTCACGGGTCAATCAAAATAGCAATAATTCTCGTCAGCAGGGGTGTGTTGTAAACCTGATTATACTTTATTGTTTAAATACATTTTAGTGTGATCTTGTCATGCAAACATTAACTACAATTTTTTTTTTGTTTCCTCAATAATTACCTTCTCCAGACATACGTTTAAGAGAAAGCTTCTTTTGGGAAAAGTCTTTAGTGATGTTCTCCACCGTCTCCCTCACCTGATAAAAATGAAAAAAAAAAGAAATATAAATGAAAAATAATTAACTACATTAACCATTATCTGCACCCCCCCCCCCCCTTTCCCGAAAGTTTCAAGTTTTATTCCGGAGAGAAAATTATGAAAGAAACCTTCGTCTTCATTGATATGTCTTTATTTTTTAGAATCTGTGTTGTGAAACGTCTTTAACTAAACGTCAGTGCTCTTACGCTAAGTTACAAAATATAATTGGTTACAATTTAACGACCCGCTCGATACAGCGCTGGCGGCCAACGATTGTTTCCCTTTGCTGGCAGTCAACGATTATTTCCCTTGGCTGCCCCTCTCATGAAATCACAATTTAATATCAATTTGATGGGCACTTGCACAACCGAACGGAAGTTTTATCACGGAAAAAATCTAGTCCTTAAACAAGGATTAGATAAACTTTAAAATATTTTTTAAAAATTAAATTTAACAGGTACGTTTATTTAAGACTAACTGTATTTGAGTCATGGGATTGACAGGAGTTTGTTTTGTTAAAAAATGTGGTTATTTGTTTTTGGTGGCAAGATCCCGTTTGGATTTGTGGTAACTAGTATCACGGTGGAAACTGGCTTTGGCCACGGTAGATAGGTGGATTCGTCTAGGACTCTTGGATGGGTCTTTGGCGACGGTGGATTCTTTTCGTCTTCTTCTTTTTCTTCTTCTTCTTCTTCTTCTTCATCTTCTACGTTCTTAATTTTAGTGTTGAAGGAATCCCCTCCAACACAATTAAGTATACGTGTCAACTGGTTATGCGCCGTTGAGAACGTTGACTCCGATTTCAGCCTGCTTTTCTTATTGGATTTGCTTCGATAGCCTTTGTCCAACCAAGAACAAACTACAAGGCAGCAGTTGTTTGATTTTGGAGTTGTCTCTCCTAGAAGAGTGGCTGTCCCCAGCTAACGAGCCTCATCTGCCCGAGACGATGGATTCGTCTTGGTCAAGGTGAATCGGTCTTTCGTGACAGTGGATCGTGGAAGTGATGGAGTGGGTTTGTGTATGCGGGGGTTGATGGTGAGGGAGAGGGACGTTGACACAGGGAGGGAGGAGCCGAACGGTAAACGGGAAACGGTGTTTTTTATGTATCTGATCGACCCATCTAACAAGAAAATCACGTACGTCGATCTGGCTATGGTCTAGTCTAGATTTTAAAAAAAAGACGACGTTTTAACCACTGGTCTTCGGCAAAATTAACTATTCACATCTTATAAAGAGTTTTAAAATTGTGTGCGCCACTCCCCACCCGGGCCCACCCTTTCACACATCAACACTCCCATACGCTTCATAAATTCTGTGATTTGAAAAAACCTTCCGCGACGTATTCAAACCGACCAGACTGTTCAAAACAATAAACATGGCTACATATGACGCCTTAGTTTAGCGCATCGTAAAAAGATAACGAGATTTGTTTCGTTTGTTTTCTGCCCAGTTTGGCTTGGAAGAATAAAAAACAGGAACATGAAGGACCATAATCGTAAATCCTGGCAATAATCGCAAAGAAAACAGAGAAAATGAGAGACTCAAAGGTGATGATTTTTAACAAGAGATATAACCGTATACACAAACTAAAAACCTTAATTAGAGATCAAGGGCAATAATCGTAAATTATAATTATTCATTTCTAAGTGTTATAGGTCTGCTTTTCCAGGTAATATTTTTTATTGGACCGTATCTTCACTATGACACCTACAGAGTTACATCCTGCATCAACACTCTTTTAAACAAATCAATACCTTAAGTATGAGTTCAAACCAGGTGGAAAATATTTACATGAACGTCAGAGATAAATATTTCTGTAAATCGCTAGAGTGGATTGGGTTGCGTGTCAATGGTAGTGGTTTAGAAGAGAAATAGTTTTGAAACCCCGGGATAGTGACCTTGCGTTATTATATTTTTTCCACTTAGCCGAGGTTTAGTGTAGATGATGTAGAAGCTGAGTGAACAATAGCTAGAAATAATTTTTGCAGACAAAAGTCTCTTTCATGCATCTCTTCATGTGAGGGGGGGGGGGGGGGCTGTTTATCGCCCCCTTCCCGAAAATAAAAAAGCTAGAAGAATATAATTTATTTAGAACAACTATAATTTAACCAGTGTCTCGCACCCTCTCCCCCCCCCCCCCCCCCCCGCCGAAAATTAAACTCCGCCCCTCTCCAAATGTTTTATGGGCCACTCTCAAGGAGATTAATGTCTGAAAGAACCACTGTTTGCAGATAAGTAGAAGGAACCATATATATATATATATATATATATATATATATATATATATATATATATATATATATATATATATATATATATATATATATATATATATATATATATATATATATATATAAGTATTAACAAAACTTATAATGGCGAGCATTTCAAAATACTAAAAATAGGTCAAACAACAGGCTTTTGTATATTATGCGTTAATGGGAGAAAATGAAATCGTTTTCTTTCAATAAAACAATGCATCACAGTTTAAATAACTGTAAAAATAAATACAAACTCGCGGATGGCTATTCTGTGTGTTAAAAAAATCGCTAAATATAAATAGCCATATACGCCTAATTATCTTCTTCTACTCTTTATAAATAAACCCGTACACAGACGGGCGGTTTGTGACTCGCTACATCACGTGACGCGTGGTTTGTCACGTGGTCTTTGACATACGGTTGGCGATGCGTGGGCTGTGACGCATGCTTATATCACTATTCTCATCTTTTGCGCTCAAAGTTTAAAACTGCTCCACACTTAATTTAATAAACTTCTTCTGTTGACATCACCACAACCCCATGTATCGGAAATGCAAGTCAACATCTTACGATTTCCGCCCACTTGGACCAAGTCTGCTAGAGTCACTTCACAAGGTGGGCGAATCGATCCATGAAAAACAAGTCGTCTATCTCACTGATCGTTTCAAACTGTCATCAAAGTTTTATGCATGTTTGCTCACGCTGTCTTTGACGGCTCAGACCGGCAGACCGGTCTCCTGCCGGCTGATGCACACGTCTTTAGATCCTCCTGTTTGATCT